CGGGCCCCCGCGCCGGCCGCTCTCTGCGCGGACGGCGATGCGGACGTGGACGTGGAGCCGCAGAGCCCATACCCAGGCCCAGGAAGCCCCAGCTGCCGGGCGCTGGTCCCCTAACCATGCCCGCTCCCTCTTCTTCCCGTGTCCTGTAGAGAACCCACCGCCTGCCCAAGGAGATGACCCCCGTGGAACCCGCCACCTTCGCGGCCGAGCTGATCTCCAGGCTGGAGAAGCTGAAGCTGGAATTGGAGACCCGCCACAGCCTGGAGGAGCGCCTGCAGCAAATCCGAGAGGTAGTGCTGGGCCGGGGCTGGGCAGGTACCACCTCGCTCCTCCCCCTGATCCACCAACCTGCCCTGGGGGCTGGGGGCTTCTGCTGACTGGGCGCGCCCCCTCCTGCCTTTCCTTCCAGGATGAAGAGAAGGAGGGCTCGGAGCTGGCGCTGAGCTCCCGGGAGGCGGGGCCCACCCAGCACCCCCTATCCCTCCTGCCCTCGGGCAGCTATGAGGAGGACCCGCAGACCATCCTGGACGACCACCTGTCCAGGGTCCTCAAGACCCCCGGCTGCCAGTCCCCAGGTGTGGGCCGCTACAGCCCCCGCGCCCACTCCCCGGACCGCCACCACCACCACCACCAGCAGTGCCACCCGCTCCTCCCACCTGGGGGCAAGCTGCCCCCCGCCGCCGCCTCCCCGGCCGGCTGCCCCCTCCTCGGGGCCAAGGGCTTCGTGACCAAGCAGACGACGAAGCACGTCCACCACCACTACATCCATCACCACGCCGTCCCCAAGACCAAGGAGGAGATCGAGGCCGAGGCCACCCAGCGGGTGCGCTGCTTCTGCCCCGGGGGTGCTGAGTACTACTCCTACTCGAAATGCAAGAGCCACCCCAGGTTGCCGGAGCCCTCAGCATCCGAGCAGTTCGGGTGAGTGTCGGGGAGACCCGTGTGTTCCAGCTGGGGCTTCTCCCCCAGCCAGAGCCCCGGGGCGGGTGCGGTGGAGGGCCGGAGGTCACAAGCACTTAGCTTCCAGGAGGGCGGCCCGGGTGGGGCGGGGCAGGGGGAGCAGGTGCCTGGGGCTTTCATGTCACCCCACCCGTCCCTCGCCCACCTGTCCGCTCCGAGGGGCCCTGGAGATGGAGACGTCCCGGGGTCTCCGGGATGGATGTGGTTCTTGGTTCCCCGCAGCGGCAGCAGAGGCAGTACCCCACCCAAACGAAGTGGGAAAGGCACGGAGCCGGGCCCGGCCCTGCCCGCCAGGGAAGGAGGGGCCCCCGGCGGAGCGGGGGCGCTGCAGCTTCCCGGGGAGGAAGGAGACAGGTCGCAGGATGTCTGGCAGTGGGTGCTGGAGAGCGAGCGGCCCGGCAAGCCCAGGCCCCATAGGTAAACACTGCCGCCGCCGCCCGGGGTCGCCGCGGAGGCATTGCGGGGATGGCTATTTTTGCAGTTGGCCAAAACCAAATGGGACTGTTTGCTCCTGCCGTCTTAATATTAAACGTTGGACTGAGCAGACCACAAAAATGCCATGTTTAGGCAACGCCCCTCTGTTCGTGTTATGGCAGTTATTTTTTTCTCCCTTCTCTGAAGGCAGAATAGAGAGGTTTCTATCGAAGTCACATTTTCCAGTTTTTCTAACCCCGTTTCTTTCCTCTGCTTTCTTTCTCGTTCCTTGTCCAGTGCCCAAAGCACAAAACGGGCCTACCCCTTGGAGTCTGC